GGTCACGGAGCTTTGTCCCCGGGGTAGGCTCACGCAGTGGATGGCCGTGGAGGCCTGAGTGCTGACCCTCGTTTCTCCTGCCCAGGGAGTCCTCTCCACTCCCCCTCCTCACCCTCCTGTCCCCTCCTGGGCTCTCCCTGTTCCCTGCAGCACACCTGATCTCCTAGGAGGTTCTGACACTGTCCCCTCGCAGCCACCTGCCTCCACCCGTCTGTCATCCTCATCCCACCCTCGCCACTTGCCTGAGCTGGTGCTGACCTCTCAGCCATGGGGAGGAAGGAGCTGGACTGTAAGCTCAGATCACTGGCCCACTTGGGCCAGGCCGTCTTTGCGTCGTGGGCATCAAACACCTCGATTCCCCCACAAGAGGGGCTCCTCCCTGAGAGTGACCAGGAGCCTCGAGATGGCAGAGTGAGTTGGGCTGCCCAGGTTGTGACTAGGGCTCAGGGGCCCAGGTCCAAATCACAGAGCTGGGGCGAGACTTAAGTGCAGTCCAGGGGCCCAGCACCCTCTTCCCTGGAGGGCACTGGGTTCTCCTCCATGCACACATACTGGTACCTGCTGTGAGAAGTGTCACATGGGGAAAGGAGAGAGGCGTGGGTAAGGGGCATTTCCCTTCATTTCCCTGCTTGCCACCCTTGGGGCCTCCTTCAGTCCACATTTTACTCAGTCTCCCGGTGGCTATACAGGCCAGGGGCGAGGGCATGTGTGGACATCCACACACAGCGCTGGTTGTATCCTAACCGGGAAACTCAAAGCAGCCTTGCCTACCACAGTGGGTTGAATGGTGGCCCTCAAAAGATGTGTCCTGGGGGGCTGAGTGGGGAGGATGGCTTGAGCCTAGGAGGTTGAGGCTGAGGCTGCACTGAACTGAGATTGTGCCACTACACTCCAGGCTGGGCAATACAGCAAGACTCTGTCTAAAAACAAACAACCAACCAACCAAAAGCCAAAAAAAAAGATAGGTCCACCCAGAACCTGAGAATAGGGGCTGCTTTAGATACAGAATCATTGCAGAAGTAATTAAGGATCTCAAGATAAGATCATCGTGGATTTGGGGTGTGCCTTAAAGCTGAAGACTGGCACCTTTGGAAGAGACAGGAAGGGAGGAGATACAGGGGAAGGCCGCCGCTGGCAGCCAGTGGGACTGGAGTGCTCAGCCCTAAGTCAGAATCGCAGGCAGCCTCCAGGAGCTGGGAGAGGCATGAAGGGTTCTTCCCCAGAGCCTTCGAGCCTGGGAAGGAAGACAGGCTGTTGTCCAAGCCACCAGCGTCTGGGGCTCTGTTCCAGCAGCTCCAGGAATCCCGCCGTCCACTGATAGCTCAGGGGTCTCCACGTGGAAGACCTGAAGTGTGACTTGGAGTGAGGGACATGCCTCATCTTGCCCACCTGTCTGCAAGGCAGGCAGAAAGCAGTCGCACCTCTTGGGGTGGAGAGAATAGAAGTTACATACATACATTTATCTCCTGGGCTCCGGTGATCCTACCACCTCGGCCTCCTGAGTAGCTGGAACTACAGCTACACACCACCATGCCAGCTTAAGTTTTTATATTTTTAGTAGAGACAGGGTTTCATCATGTTGCCCAGGCTGGTCTTGAACTCCTAGGCAAAGGATATGTCCGCCTCAGCCTCCCAAAGTGCTGGGATTACAGGCATGAGCCGCTGTGCCTGGCTTAACGATGTATTGTTTAAAGATACAACATATTTGGACACACACAAACATATAAAGAAAACCAGGAGGATGGTGGTTTGCACAGAATTGGAGATGATGGTCACTCCTGGGGGCAAGAGAAGAATCTACAATAGGCTGGGCGCAGTGGCTCACGCCTGTAATCCCAGCACTTTGGGAGGCCAAGGTGGGCAGACTGCTTGAGGTCAGCAGTTTGAGACCAGCCTGGCCAGCATGGTGAAAACTCATCTCTACTAAAAATACAAAAATTAGCTGGGCGTGGTAGCAGGCGCCTGTAGTCCCAGTTACTCAGGAGGCTGAGCCAGGAGAATCGCTTGAACCTGGGAGGTAGAGGCTGCAGTGAGCTGAGCTCGCACCACTGCACTCCAGCCTGGGTGACAAGAGGGAGACTCTGTCTCAACAACAACAAAAAAAGAATCTGCAACAGGGGAAGGGCGTGTGGTTGACTCTGAAGAACAGCCCCCAACGACACCCCCATCCCCGTGCTCAGAGCTTGTGCATGTGTTGCTTTTATACATGGCAGCGGGGACTTTGCAGATGTGACTACCTTAAGGACCTTGAGATGGGGAGGTTAACCGGGATGATCCTCGAGGGTCCTCACAGGAAAGAGGGAAGGCGGTCGCTGAGAGAGACCTGGATGATCCAGGCGGGATCACGAGGGTCCTCACGGGAAAGAGGGAAGGCGGTCGCTGAGAGAGAAGGCTGTAGTGTGACCACAGGGGTAGACTGGAGGGATGCAGCCGGAAGCCCGGGAATGCCGCTGCCTAGAGGCTCAGGAGGCCAGGGATTGACTCTCCCTGGAGATTCCAGAAGGAACCGGCCCTACAGACACCTTTATTTTAGCCTCTTCCTCCAGAACTGTAAGAGAATAAATGTGTGTTCCTTTAAGTCTCTAACTTTGTGTTACTTTGTGATAGTTTGTATTAGACTGCAGAATGGCCCTCAAAGATACCAGGTTGTCATCTCTGGAACCTTTCAATGTGTTATTCCTGGCCGGGCGTGGTGACTCACGCCTGTCATCCCAGCCCTTTGGGAGGTTGAGGTGGGTGGATCATGAGGTCAGGAGTTCAAGACCATCCTGGCCAACATGGCAAAAACCTGTCTCTACTAAAAATACAAAAATGAGCCAGGTGTGGTGGCAGACAGACGCCTGTAATCCCAGCTACTTGGGAGGCTGAGGCAGGAGAATTGCTTGAACCCGGAAGGCAGAGGTTGCAGTGAGCCAAGATCGGGCCATTGCACTCCAGCCTCAGCGAGAGAGACTCCATCTCAAAAAAAAATTAATAAATACGTAAAGAAGGTATTCCCTTATTTTGGAAAAAGGGTCTCTGCAGATATGATAAAGTGAGAGGCCCTGAGACAGGAAGACTGTCCCGAATTGTATGGACGTCCCCAAGTGCCATCGCACACTTCTTCAGGCAGAGGAAGGATTGACCAACAGAAAACACCATGTGGGGACAGAGACGGAGACTGCAGTGATGTGGCCACAAGCCAAGGAGTGCCTGGGGCCCCCTGAAGCTGGAAGAGGCTGGGAGGACCCTCCCGGAGCCTCCAGAGGGAGCCACACCTTGATCTCAGCCCAGTGATGCTGATTTTGGACGTGGACTCCAGAACAGTGAACGGAACACACTTCTGTTGTTTCAGGCCCCCCGGCTGTGGGAGTTTATTACAACAACAGTAACAGACCTTAAAACCCACTCCAAGGGCTTGGCAGGTAAGACTCTACTCCTTCCGCTTCAGCTGCTGTGCGTCGATAGTCATAACAGTTCTGTTCATTCAGATGGACCCACGTGAACTGTTACATGTAGGATCCATTTCACAGATGGAACCATTAGAGGGCCTTTTAAGAAGCCCATCACCCTCACCCCCAACTGTAGTGGAACGTGGAGCAATGCTAAGATTTCAGCCTGGGCACGGTGGCTCGTGCCTGTAATCCCAGCACTTTGGGAGGATCACTTGAGCCCAGGAGTTCGAGACCAGCCTGGGCAACCTATGAAGACCCTGTCGCTGAAAAAAAAAAAAAAAAAAAAAAAAGGCAGGTGTGGTGGTGCACACCTGCAGTCAGCTACTCCGGAGGGCGAGGTGGGAGGACCACTGAGCCCAGGAAGCAAGGCTGCAGTGAGCCAAGATTGCGCCGCTGCACTCCAGCCTGAGCAACAGTGAAACCCTGTCTCTGAAAGAAAAAAAGAAAAACATTCAAGGCAGAAGAATCAAGAAACCAGCAGAGGGTGGTGATTGGCTTTGAGTAACACACGGAGTCTTCCTCCAGCTGAACTGGAAGGTCAGCGTCTGCCCGGTTAAAGGCACTGAGACTGGTATGTCTGCCTCTCACCGTGGCCTACACGGCTATCTTCCTGTCACCTCAAAAGGCACCAAGAAAGATCGAGGCAGCCCCTGAGCACGCACAGCGAGGCACTGGAAGGCTCCTGTTGGACTTGACGGCCCCACAGACAAGGCCGCCCTGTGACTGAGGGGACAGGACAAGAGCAGGGTCCCCTCTGCACACAGGCGGGAGCAGTGCCCACCTCCCCCAGACGACCAACACTCCGCATCCTGCTGGATGTGAGTGACTGCCACTTTCTACCAATGACACCTTGCACCTTGCTCCGTTTTTCTCACCTTCTAGGTAAGAACTGAGATAGTAAGTCTCAGAGTCACCCCTGCTTCCTGACAGCATCGAACAGAGCGCAGCAGTTGCCGTGAATGTTCCCCGAAACCTCCACGAAGCTGCCCAAGTCGCGCCCGTCCTCCCCGACTCCCCAGCACCGTCGATGGTGGGGGGCTCCGTGCTGCAGCAAGTCAGGGGCGTTCACGGCGGCCTCTGGCTAACAGCCCTGACGGCACCTCTGGGCTGCTGGGAAGCACCCGGTCACCTCACCTAGAGGAGGGTGAAGGCTGGAGCGACAGAACTGCTTGGAGACCAGGTGGAGCTTGGAATCCCTCCTTTGTGCGTCCGTCTCCCTCTCCACAGTGGCTCAGGGCCTCTGTGCTCCAGCAGGGTTTGTGTCATCATGGGAAAGTAGAGAAGAAACAGCATCAGCTCGAGTCCAGCACAGCCGCAGGGCAGGGACGGTGGTTTTATTTTTATTTGAGATGGAGTCTCATTCTGTCACTCGGGCTGGAGTACAGTGGTGCAACCTCCGCCTCCCAGGTCCAAACAATTTTCATGCCTCAGCCTCCCGAGTAGCTGGGACTATAGACATGCACCACCACGCCTGACTAATTTTTTCTATTTTTAGTAGAGACGGGGTTTCGCCATGTTGCCCAGGCTGGTCTTGAACTCCTAAGCTCAGGCAATATGCCTGCCTCAGCCTCCCAAAGTGTTAGGATTACAGGCATGAGCCACCACGCCCTGACGGGACAGTGGTTTTAAAAGGCAGGTGCCAGCCTTTGTTAAGAAAGGTGTGTAAGAATCTGTAGATCTAAAGCAACAGGCCGCACCTCTGAACATTCCATGGAAGCAGGAAGGGAGCAAGCCCCACTCCTGAGCTGAGACAGGTGGGGGTGGAGGGCAGGGTTCACATAGGAGATGGCTCAGCCTCTGCCCAGGGAGCGCCCCACCTTCGCCAGGGCGGGGAGGAGCATACGGCACCCAGTGCTTGCGTACACCCCTGCGTGCGTGGAGCTGCCTAGGGCCTCCCTGTCACCAGCCCTCACTGCTGTCCAGCCCCTGCCTACAGGCCCCCAGTGGCTGCCACGGTCCTATGCGGAGACTTTGCTCAGTTTCATCCAAGGTTTCGCCAATGCCCTTCAATAGCTGAGGATATACGAAAGGCTCCCCGAGCAAAGGCTGGGGCCCCAGGGGGCCGGGGAGAAGGTCGCCGAGGCACACATGGGAGGGAGTGGACAGAAGAGCACAGGACTCTGCTGAGGTCTGAACGAGCCCCTCCGGAATTCATGTGTTGGAACTTAATTGCCAGTGTGAAGGTATTAAGAGCCAGGGCCTTGAGGCAGTGGCAGAACCTCCAGAACGGGATTCAGGACCTCACAGGAGGTGTGGCAGAGCTGCCTCCTTCCCTTTGTCCTTCCGTCCCTCCGGCCATGTGAGGACGCAGCCACAGGGCACCATCTTGGAAGCGGAGACTGGGCCTCCCGAGACCCAAACCAGCTGGCGCCTTGAGCTTGCACTTCCCAGCCTCAGAAGTGAGAAACAAATGTCTATTATTTATACATTCCCCAGTCTCAGGTGTTTTGTTACGGCGGCGTACACAGACTAGGAATCTCCTGCTCCCTCCAGCCCCCACGTCCCCGCACTGCCCCACCCTCCGGGCCGGGACAGAAGTGTGTCCCGCCCCCGTGACAGTGACGTCTCACCAACCTCCAGCCTCCCCCAGGTGAAACAAAACCTTCACCTCCCCCTAATACAAGCAGCTTCCATTTTGCTTGTAAAATCCACATCTGACGAAGCTGTTCTCCAGCAAAGGGCAGACCTAGCGTGTCTGTCTCTGTCAAAACAAATATCATCAAGCCTGTCATTGACTTTTTTTTTTTTCTAGATTCACTATTTTGGCTAAATTCCTCATCAAAATTGCAAGCTACGAACCTTCTCTACTGGAGTAATTTTCAGAGGGCAACTGAGTCATCATTGTGGATAATACATTTTGAATCTTGATGTTTGGAAAGAGGGTCACAAGCACCTGGGACAGCATCTGGAACTGGTGTTTACACCACGGACGGATCGTGTGGACAGATCACGCCAGCAGTGAGGGCTGCGGGAGAACATGACAAAGCTTCTCTAAGGTTTAATTTATATTTATGTTTTTTGTATATTCACCACCCGAACACGCAGTCTTCTACTTAGTCCAGTCTGTATCAGGCTTTGTCTGGTTTTGTTCTGCCTTGGTTTGCTGTAGCACTTTCTGCCGTGAGCGTAACTCACTTCCTTGTTGCAGGAGTTTCCTGAGGCTGTCATAACAAATCGCCACAGACCTGGTGGCTTAAATAACAAATATTTATTTTCCCGTAGCTCTGGAAGCCAGAAGTCCGAAACCAATACTTTGGCAGGGCTGTGCTCCCCCTGGGAGATCTCGGGGAGGCTCCTTCTGTCCGAAACCAATACTTTGGCAGGGCTGTGCTCCCCCTGGGAGATCTCGGGGAGGCTCCTTCTGCCTGTCCCGCTTCTGGGGGCTTCTGGTGGTGGTTGCCTGGAGGGCCAAGGCCTCCGGGCGGCCTGTGTGTTCCGTGAACACCTGCGAAGGGCTCCGGGTCACAAAGCCTTGGGAAACTTTATTTTATTCCTTCTAGGACACTACTGGTACTCCTGAGGAGCTGTCAATTACAAAACAAGAAAAGGGAAGGAAGAGAAAAATACGCGTTTGGCCTGGTTTGATGTTGCAGCGGGAGGATCCGTCTTCTTACCCTCCACCATCACCGAGCCGGGAACTGAGGGAGAAGAGGCCCCTGCAACATGAGTTTCTTCAGTGTGGGTTCTCCTTTCCTTGCATCTCAGTGTCCTTGTGTTTGCAGCTGGGAGGTCGGCCTCACCCCCACCTGTGGCACAGCAGAGAGAAGGATGAAGAGGTCCTCGCAGTGTGTCTGCACGAGGCTGGCCACCTCCCCTCCCCAGGCACTGTCCCCTCAGGGTTCACCTTCTGTCCACAGACCACGACCCTGCCTCCCCACAGACTTTGTCCCCGTAGCTGCCATACCCAGTTGGCCAGACACCTCCAAGCCCGGCTCCACCCGCAGGGACCAGTGCTGCTCTCTTCTCTCTGGGCCTCAGTTCCACCATCTCTGAATAGAGGCGTTGCCCCTGATTCTAGGGTCCCTTACATTGCTTTTTTTTTTTTTTTTCCTGAGACGGAGCATCGCTTGTCACCCAGACTGGAGCGCAGTGGTGCGATCTCAGCTCACTGCAACCCCTGCCTCCTAGGTTCAAGTGATTCTCCTGCCTCAGCCTCCTGAGTAGTTGGGATTACAGGCGTGCGCCACCATGCCAAGCCAATTTTTGTAATTTTATTGGAGACGGGATTTCATCACGTTGGCTGGTCTTGAGCTCCTGACCTCTGATTTGGCCGCCTTGGCCTCCTAGAGTGCCGGGATTACAGCTGTGAGCCACCGCGCCCGTCCCGGTCCCTTAAGTTTCTCAGAATCTACAGACCAGCAGCAGGAACTAGGAACATCAGGCATTTTCTCACTTCATTTTTTGGTTTAATCCCTCATTTGCAACTCCCAGCCACTGACAAATGTCCAACAGCGTGACCAGGGAAGAAGCTGGCCCTGGAGGTCTCTGCCCTGCTCTGAGGCATGCAGTCGGAGATAGGGGCTGCATCTCCGTGGGGAATCCCGGACAGCCCCTGGGGGCTCCTCACCAAGGCTCAGGAGCACAGCTCCGGTTTATCAGACAGGCACACGCCTGGGTGTCAGCTTTGAACTCTTCCCTCTCTCCTCTGCACTTCTGTTCTGGAAAAGGAATCCTTTCTCAACAGGCGACAACGGTTCAAGGATTCAGCCTTGTTGCCAGTGTCGTTTCTTAGCTCCGATATGTGATGTCTATACCAGGCAGTGGCGCAGTGAAGTAAAGGGCTGTAATAAATACACAGAATCTGGCCGGACGCGGTGGCTCACGCCTGTAATCCCAGCACTGTGGGAGGCCGAGGCGGGCAGATCACCTGAGGTCAGGAGTTCAAGACCAGCCTGACCAACATGGTGAAACCTCATCTCTACTAAAAATACAAAAATTAGCCGGGCGTGGTAGCACACCCCTGTAATCCCAGCTGCTCAGGAGTCTGAGGCAGGAGAATCACTTGAACCTGGGAGGCAGAGGTTGCGGTGAGCCGAGATCATGCCATTGCACTCCAGCCTGGGCAACAAGAGCGAAACTCTGTCTCGAAAATAAATAAATAAATAAATAAATAAATACAAAATTCTAAAGAACCGGCCACCAACTCTACCAAGAGAGAAACGACTATACATTTTATTGTTGAGAAACATTTTCTTAAATAAGTGTTTTCACTTCATTCCTTTTACTGAAGCAGGTCTTCCTTGGCCTGTTGAAACTGCGTCGTTCAACGTAACTAGAGGTATCTTTGGCATTTTCTTCCCTTAGCTTCATAACTTGTAGAATATCTTGTACAAAAAATGTAGATTTACAGAAAAATATGCATATAAATCACTTATTAATCCCAAAATGTAGTAAATAACTAGCAAAAACTTTATCAAATCCATTTCATACACAAACTGGACAGATCCGTTGCACATAACCTCTACATCTGCAGCGTTTTATAAATTGGTGCTTTGACATTAAAAAGGAGGTTTACAAAAAGACCCCTCTCGTGATATCGATGACTCTAAATCATCCCACTACCGTTGCTTCTCAAATTCCCTTCAATTTACGCTAATCACTCCAATATCACCATTCTTACAAAAGCAGTTATTTTAAGGAAAAAGTTGCAGTGCAATCATGATAAAGTAACATTCAGAATTTCATGTTACCAAGAGTTGAGCAGAGTACTAATTTTCCCTTTATAAACACACATCGAAAACAAGAGCTTCATGCACATCCACATAGAAATTCGAAGTCCGACAGTGTAGTGTGTTTCCATCACACGGAAGGCATCGCACACATTCGCAAGCAGCGTTTGCCGAGAGAAACCGGAATCTGAGATGCATCCGCCAGCTGCCAGGGGTAACACCGAGTTTCTCTGGGAGAGATTCCACCGTGGTTCTTTTAGTGCCTGCCTTAAGAAATTTTGCAGCTGTTTCTGGTGCAGTTTTTGGGTGGGCTCTGGGGTGGGCGGACAAGCTTCACTTTGCGGAGGCTGCTCCTTTTGTGGGTGGAGCTGGTGGTGAGGGAGTAGGAACGGCCGTGCATCATCCTGGCATTCAGGCCGTTGGCCATTGAGAAGGACTTGAGGTGGCTTCTTAAGGCAATGGGGAGCGGGAGCTTGTCCACCAGGTGCACCGGCGTGCAGGACACAACCGCCCGGCAGCACAGGTCTTGCAGGCTCAGCACTTGGGAGAGAAAAAGGTAAACCCTGCTTAGTGGATGTCCCTGCCTGGGCTGGCCATGGGGGTGGTGCCCACACCTGTTCTCCTGCCTTCCCGAGGCTCGGACACCCATGGCCCTGGCTTGTACATGCAGCAAGCCCTGCCACCACATCCCCTCTGCCCACGTACAGATCCCAGAGCTCCCTCATGAGCTTTCCGACAAAGCTGTAGTGATTACTTCTCTCAAATGTCTTGCTCTGAGAACAGACACAGTGGCCCTGAGGCGGGTCCCGGGAGGCAGACACTTATCCAGGGGGCCACCGAACCACCTCGGCGTCTGAGGGCAGAGGGGGCCCCCAGAATAGCCCCGGGGCCTACCCTTGCTTGGCCGCCAGAGCCGGTCCATCCCATGCCGCAGCAGCACGATCCTGGCCAGCTCCGTGAACGACTCCGTGATGTTGAAATTGCACAAAGGCTGACCTCAAAGAAGGTCACGCCCAGGCGTTCGGCGTAGGCCTGGGCCTGCTCCGTGGGGACCTGCCGCTTGAACGCCAGGTGCAGGCGGTTCCCCACCAGGATCTTAGGGACTCCGGGGGCATGCTAGCGGGCAGGAGAAAGGCGAGGAGCATGGGTTACTTGAGTGAGATTTTGTTGTCGTTGCAAAGTGGGTGCTCTGGTGTGAGGAACCCCCCACGAGTTCATATCCACCCAGAACCTCAGCATGGGACCTCGTTTGGAAAGACAGTCTTTGCAGACGTAAATAGTTACGGGGCGGCCCCGCTGGATTAGGGCCCTCATCTAATGACTGGTGTCCTTGGAAGAAGAGAAGACACGGACACTCGGAGGCCGTGTGATGCAAAGGCAGAGACTGGAGCGGTGCAGCCACAAGCCGGGGGGCCCAGGGTTGCTGGCACTGCCGAGAGCTCGGAGCGGCGGCTGTAGGGAAGCAGCCCTCCCGACACCTTGGTTTGGGGCTCTGGCCTCCAGAACCGTGAGCGAACGCATTTCTGTCGTTTGGGACCCCGGCTTGTGGTCGTTACTTACGGCAGCCCCAGGACACACAGTGGGCTTGGCGCTGACCACGCCATGTCGCCGCTGCCAGGTGGGCTGGTCTGCGTGCCAGCAGGCACAAGCCCCGGCCACTGCTGGTCAACCCAGACCGACCACAGCAGGGAGTGAAGCAGGCCAAACTGTGGGGCCTGACCCCATGCCGAGGCACGCCACGGAGGCTCGTTTTGCCTGGACCAGCTTCCTGAGCTTTGGTGACTCTCTGTAGCTACACTCATGAGCCCAGCCCCATCCAGTGCTGTGCCGAGGTGAGGCACCCTCCTTGCTGCTGGAACCCCATCCAGTGTCCTGGCCCATGATCCATGTGTACCCGTGAGCCCTGGAGGGCCCGGCCCTAATTCCTGGCCTGACATCCTCCCAGGCGCACAGGGATCTTGGGCAATGGCGTTTCTACAACGTACCTCATCGATCTCCTTAATCACCGATCAATGCCGTCGAAAGACCAGCGGTTCGCAATGTCATAGACCAGGATCACACCCTGGGGGAGAGGTCACAGGCTCAGCACACAGAACACAGATGCAGGCACAGCTGCGGCCATGCACGCAAAGACATACAACCAACTCAATCATTTCCTTCTTTTAACACAAAGTACATAATTTTGATTTATCACCCGAATGATCATTTCCAACGATATTTCATAAGCTCAGTGATAAACCCTCAAATGTCACAGTGAGCTGGGGACTAGCACTCACACCCACGAGCCACTCCAGGGACACAGGACACGGGGCACCACGGTAATCGCCACCTCTCGAGGAGTGCGGCCCACTCACCTGGATGGATCGCACGCATACACATGCACATACACATGCAGTTCACGTGTGCACGCGTGTGCCCATGTACGGGCAGGCACACATATACACATACAGCTCACACACAGGCACTCATGCACAGACGCACGCACAGTGCACACACACGCAGTTCATGTGTGCAGAGGCATGCACATATAGAGGCAAGCACACACATTACACACACAGGCAGGCACTCATGCACAGACGCACACACAGTGCAGGCACCTGCACACACGTGCAGACACACACACTCATGCACAGACGCACACACAGTGCAGGCACCTGCACACACGTGCAGACACACACACACACTCATGCACAGACGCACACACAGTGCACATACCGCACACACATTGTGCAGACACACACACACTCCATGCACAGACGCACACACAGTCAGGCACCTGCACACATTGCAGACACACACACTCATGCACAGACGCACACACAGTGCAGACACCTGCACACACGTTGTGCAGACACACACACACTCTCATGCACAGACGCACACACAGTGCAGGCACCTGCACACACGTGCAGACACACACACACTCATGCACAGACACACACACAGTGCAGGCACCTGCACACACACTCCCATAAATGCTTACTCCCTAATGCCGATGAAGTCTCTCAAACAACCAATCACTCTATGTATTTAGATTCTTGGTACCAATTTATACATAAGCGTAACCACCTTATCCTCCAGTTATCCATTAACGGATGGTAAGTTAAACATTGTAAACGTTATCATTCAAAGTCAGTTTGATCTCCCAGCTCGGGATGCTGTGTTACCTGTGCACCCCGAGAGTACGAGCGGAATATGGTACAAAATCTTCCCTGGCCCGAAGTATCCCTGGAAAAGATGTTGGAGACCATTAAAAGAAATCAAGTGCTTCTTCCTGACAACAGGTTCTGGAACTTCAGAGCCACAGCAAGTGCACCGCACACCCGCCAGTCAGCATGCCAGTCAGCTGGCCACCACGCTGCCAGCGCGAGACCCCAACGAAACTGTCCCATGTTCCCGGGGATCCAGGCTCATGCTCTTCTCTGTCATTTAAAAAGTCAAACTAGAAAAAAGAGTGATGGGTTTTAACATAATTCTCAGATATTTAAATACATTCAAGGTAGGCTTTAAAAAACTTGTTGAATCTGGAGATAAAGCTATGCAGTAAGGAGTGTGGGTCTACACTGGGGGAGAGAGGCCAGTGGGATTCCTGCTCTTCCAGTTCAACTGTAAGAACTCACATGGAGTCAGCCCTTCCAATGTGCCCCCAAAAGGGGAGGAATACAGGGAACTGCCTGGAGTAAGCTGAAGGCAGGCTTGAGTTCTCAGATGACGGCACACACAGCAGGTACTAGGACCCACAAAGACAACGGAGCTCCAACAAACAATGAAAGGCCAGGCTTGGTGGCTCATGCCAGTAATCCCAGCGCTCTGGGAGGCCGAGGCGGGCTGATCACCCAAGGTCAGGAGTTGGAGACCGGCCTGGCCGACATAGTGAAACCCCATCTCTACTAAAATACAAAAATTAGCTGGATATGGTGGTGTGCTCCTGTAGTCCCAGCTACTCAGAAGGCTGAAGCAGGAGAATTGTCTGAACCCGGGAGGCAGAGGTTGCAGTGAGCTGAGATCGCGCCACTGCACTCCAGCCTGGGTGACACAGCGAGACTCCATCTCAAAAAAAAAAAAAAAGTAAGCAATGAGGGTGGAAAGGGTGCTCCCCAGGGATCAGTTCCCAGAGGAGGCAGCCTTGGGACAGCCAGCACTGTTTCCCGGAGTCTGCACGTGCAATTAACATACCTACATCAATGGGAGATTCCCCAGTGGGCTGGGGGCTGGCCCCACACACAAGACACAGCCTCACAGATGAGTGGTGGGACGCGGCATGGTTTTGCTATTTTTGTTACATGCACCTGTGGTCGGTGACCACCCTCAGTAACAGAGAGAAGGGCCTGGGGCTCCAGAGGGGACCAGAGACACTGGCCATTGTCAAAGCCTAGGAGTGAGTGCCTCATTTCCTGAGAAGCAAATTGATCTAGAATTCAAGCCTCAGCAGGACCTAAGGTGCTCGGGCTTTGCACACGGTGGGAGCTGCCCAAAAGCTTATGGTTGAGGAGACAGCGGGCCAGATCGATCTGCCAGCTTCGCAGGGAGGCCGAAGGGCCAGCACGTGCCGTCAGAGAGCCCCATCGGGAAGTGGGAGCACTCCCCCCTCAGCTGGGACAACGTGCCGGCCTCCTGCGCCGCCGCCTCCCTGAAGGAGCAGAGCAGAGCCCAACCCCAGCCCCAGTGGGTGCAGGCAGGGAGGTGAGGGTAGCTGGGGGCAGGCAGAAGACCCAGCTGTGGGCATCAGGAAGGACCACACTCCGGGGTCTGCGGTGGGAGTGTGACCTTGCTCAGAGGACAGTGTGGACAGAGCAGGTGCTGGCACCACACACGAGTGGCCTCAGGGTCCTGCTGGGGCCTGGGGTGATTCTGAGCTTGGCCGAAGTCCCCGGGATCTCACTCCTGAGGTGAGAGAGAGAAAAGTGTTGAGGGTGACTCTTCGGCCCGCTGGGCAGCGGCGGTCAGGGAGGCTTTCGCTAAGATGAGCAGCCAGACCCGGGGTGGAGCTGGGAGAGGGCATGTGCCAGCCCGGATGCCAAGCAGATCTTCAGGAAGGCACTGAGCTCGGGGGCAGGCATGGGGCAGAGTGCGGCCTTCGGATGGCCTTGGCCCCTCAAGAAGGATGGTTTTGGAGAGGGAGAGGAGAGTTGGGAACAAGGTCCTGGACCTGCAGGGCTCAGGGCCGGGAGAGGGCAGCAAAGGCGCAGCTGGCAGAGGGTGGGGAGCAGGACGGAGGCTGACGGCAACTCCAGTGCCAGCCCAGCGAGGGCCCGGGGAGCGGGGACCTGAGGGCAGACTGGGTGGGAGGCCTGAAGCTGTGCAGCAGGAACGGCCGGGGCGCTCGGGGACACTGTGGAGAGAGGCTCCCGGGACTGGCCACTACTGGATGGGGCAGGAGTAGGAGGGGGACAGGTAAGAGAAGGGGGTCCCAGCTGCTGGAGGCGCATGCGGCTCGGGGGTGGCCCAGCAGGCAGGAAGGGCCAGGAGGCTCAGGCGAGGGTCACCCAGGGCTGGCAGCAGTGCAGGAGGGACGCCCAGGAGGGAGGCAGCCCCAGGATGAGGCACCGCAGGAGTCCCCCATCCCCACTGCCCCACACAGATGGAACCGCAGGAGCCCCCCAGTCCCCACCACCCCACAGAGCTGGAACCGCAGGAGCTCCCCCATCCCCACCACCCCACAGAGCTGGAACCGCAGGAGCTCCCCCATCCGAAGCCAGGAGCTGGTAGAGGGAGAGGTGCCCCGGGCCGGCCCCAAGGGGAGGGAGGAGCTGGGGTTCTCACAGCTGAGAGAGCAGAGCCAGCGGCCCCAGGCTGGCCAGTGAGTCCTCCCCTCCCCACTCTGGCTCCTCCACCCACAGGTCAGACCAGTCCCGCTGGCACCAGAACGCTCCAAGTTCCCTGCTGGGTGCTCAGTGGCGTCGCTGAGCTAGGCGTGGGGGACCCAGGAACCCCGGGCTGCTCAACCACGCTGCACTGGTCCCTTCTTGGCATCTTCCCACAGACACCAGGCCACAGGTTCTGACCCCAAAAGCCCATTCCCAGTCACAGCGCTATGTCCGTCCTGCGGTCCCCTACCCTGGATGACGGGGGCCCAGACAACCAGACCACTGCCTCCTTCAGAGAAGGCCTGGTGCAGCTGGGGCTGGGGGTGCTCCCCGGGCTGTGCCGATGGTGGTGGGGGGAGGGCGCTCCCCGGGGCGCTGGGTCAACCAGGGGGGTCACTCCCTGGGGGTGCGGGGCGCTTGCACCTCCTCCAGACTCACCAGAGCTGCAGCTTCACCCGCCGCCCGTCCAGCAGGATTGTGGTCGTCTTGTAGTCGATGCCTGTGGGAGGGTTAGAGACGGCTTAGGCCTGAGGCTGCCACTAACAGGACGCCGGAAGTCGGGACTCACTTTCGGGGAAGAAAAGGCTTTCTCGTAAGCGCAACTTCCAGGTTTACCAGGGCAGGCGGATTGGACCCACCCCCCGTGTCTGCCCAGGCTCGCCCAGGCCCTGCCTGTACCCACAGCCCCGGCCTCCTGCAGCCCCGGCCTCCTGCAGCCGGGCCCCTCCTGTCCTCAGCCGCGGGGGCTTCTGTGGGGGTCAGGCTCACATCACCCTCTCGCCGGGGGCTCCCAGATGGGCGCTGCAGAGCCCACGTGTGACTTGGAGGCCGGTGGGTTGGCTGCAGGGCTGTAGCCGCTGGGTGTGCCCCGGTCTGGGCTGGTCCTTCCCTCCCACCGCCTCCCCAAGCCTGCAGGCAGGAGAGCTCCGACTCAGCCCTGTTTCCAAGGGAGAGGGGCTATGGCAGGGGGTCTGCAGACACAGACTGCATTCGCCAGTATCACACTAGGAAAGTACAGGAAAAACAGACGTGACCCTGCGTGGGCGCCCGCTGTCAGCGGTGTGAGTGCGCGCGTGGACCACGCGTGCGCAGCCTCAGCAGTGTGTGCGCGTGGACCACGCGTGTGCGGTCTCGGTCTGAGTGTGCGCGTGGACCACGCGTGTGCGGTCTCGGTCTGAGTGTGCGCGTGGACCACGCGTGCGCGGTCTCAGCGGTGTGAGTGTGCGCGTGGACCATGCGTGTGCAGGGACACGGGACACGGGACTGCACGCCCGTCCCAGTCACCTCTGGGGTGCAGATTACAGGTAGGCTGGAACCTTCTGTCAACATTCTCTTTTTTCAAGTTAAAAAAAAAAAAGAATGCGTTTCTTCTTTTTTTTTTTTTTTTTTTTTTTGAGACAGCGTTTCTCTCTGTCGCCCAGGCTGGAGTGCAGTGGCGCGATCACGGCTGACTGCAGCCTCCACAGCTCAGGCTCAAGTGATCCTTCCACCTCAGCCTCCTGAGTAGCTGGGACTACGGGTGTGTGCCACTATGGCCAGATAACTTTTGTATTTTTTTGTAGAGACAGGGTTTCGCTATGTTGCCCAGGCTGGTCTCGAACTCCTGAGTTCACACAATCCGCCTGGCTCAGCCTCCCAAAGTGCTAGCATTACAGGGATGAGCCACCATGCCTGGAACGTTTCTTCTAAAATAAAAAAGCTACAATTAAAGGCTGGGCACAGTGGCTCATGCCTGTAATCCTAATATTTTGGGAGGCGGAGGCAGGTAGATCACTTGAGGTCAGGAGTTCGAGACCAGCCTGGCCAACACGGTGAAACCCCATCTCTACTAAAAATTCAAAAATTAGCCAGGTGTGGTGGCGGGCACCTGTAATCCCGGCTACTTGGGAGGCTGAGGCAGAATTGCTTGAACCCGGAAGATGGAGGTTGCAGTGAACTGAGATTGTGCCACTGCACTCCAGCCTGGGTGACAGAGCGAGACTCTGTCTCAAAAAAGAAACTACAATTACAAAAATCTTTTTTTGAGACAGGGTCTCTCTCTGCCACCCAGGCTGGAGTACCGTAGTGTGATCACAGCTTACTGCAGCCTTTACCTCCTGGGTTCACAGGCACACCACCACACCTGGATAATTGACAGGGTATTGCTGTGTTGCCCAGGCTGGTCAACCTCCTGAACTCGTGATCCTCCCACTTTAGCCTCCCAAAGTGCTGGGATTACAGGCGTGAGCCACTGCGCCTGGCCAATAAATATTTTTAAAAGGGAAAAATATGTCTCCCCATCCCCCCAGACACCAATGTTCTGCTTCTTCGGGAAACATCTCCTGCGTTCACTTCTAGAGCGTCTGGATGAGTGCCAGGTCTGTCACTGAGAATGTGGAAAGAGAAGCTTTGAGTTCAGGGGCTGGAGAACGCCGGGTCGGAGCACTGCCTTCCTAAAACTAAGTACAGTGACACCGATAATCACGGGAACCCAAACTGCGTAGTAAGAAGATGTGACGAGCGTTCGTGCAATTTGCTTGATTTCATGTATAGGATTCACCTGAGAGTATCTCTCAACGCACTAAACCTAGAAGAGACAAGCCCTGACCTCGCTCTCGGTGTGACCAGACGTTCAGTGAGTCGACAGCTGAGGCTGAATAGGGACTCAGAATTCTAAGGGAAGAGCACTGCCGGGAGGCCGAGCGGAGAAGCAGCGCCAAGGCTTGCGCCAGACCTGGCCCTGGGGACGGTCGCGGAGCACACGGCCTCTGCAGCTCTCCTGCCAGAGAAGCCCGCGATGCAGCCAGTGAGTGCTCAGAAACAGGCTCCTCTAAAACTGCCAGGCTGCGGAGGCCACGGTTCTCAAGCGGCGTCTGCCCCCTGGAAGGATCTAGAACCCTTGGACTTGGCCACAAGCCCCCTGCGTCCCAGGAGGCAGTGTGCCGCGCTCCTGGTCTCCTGTCGGGCAGAGCGAGGTGTGCAGTGGTGGTGCTGCCGGTGGCCTCCCACCCGGCTCAGACAGCTGGTCGCCCAGTCTTCGGGCAGGCCTGGGCGTTGCAGAACCTCTGGGCCTCTGTCCTCCGCTTTCCACTGATGCAGCCGTGAGCACGTGCATGGCACACCTGCCTGATCTGAGCACACCTGTGCAGCGCCTTCCATGGGATCCCAAGCACCCTCCCTCCCCCAGCTGCTGTGTCCAGCCTGTCCCCTGCCCTCTGCTTCCTCCTCCGGGCCCCGTCCCCTTCCTGGACTCCAGAGGCTCTTCCTATGGTGCCCCACCAGAGCCCCGGTGACATGGAGTCCAGGCTTCCCACATGCTCCTCTGTCTCCTGCTAAACTGCACTCTCCATCCACAGAGACTGCCCATCACCACCAGGTAGATTAGACCAAGCAACACCAGAGCAAACTCCACCCATCTGAGGAGAGTGATTCAGAGGGCAAAAGATGCAGCAGCACTGAGAACGCCCAAGGCACCTGCTCTGCCGGCGCCACCTGCCCAGTGATGAGGCTCAAAGCAGCCAAGCAGGCCTCTGACCCACCCAGTATGAGGCTTTCCTGGGCTGGCCAAACGTTTGCCACCGAGCCCAGTGGGCACACTGAGGGCCCCTTCTGTCTGTCTCTCTCTCCTTGGCACGGGCACTGACGGGGCACTGTTATGGCACCTTTGGGATATTGCTCTTCTGGCTGGAAACCTCTGTGGCTGCTGCATTCTTGTCCTGCGTCCAGGAAGAATGAGGTACGCAGACAAGGGGAGGGTGAGCGAGACGAGGAGGAGCTTTACGGAGTGTTGGAACAGCTCAGGGGAGACCCACAGTGGCCGGCTTCTCTCTGCAGGCAGGGCGTCCCATCGTCTCTGCAGTTCTCAGCAGAGAGGAGGCCTGGAGTGGGTGGCTCCTCTGAGGGCAGGTCGTCCTGACAAGCGTTCCGTTCTCAGCAGAGAGGGTAGCTCTCCGCAGCTGGTCATCCCGCTGTCCGTGCTGCTGTAGCTGAGTCTGGGGTTTTTACGGTCTTCAGGGTGGGGAAGCGCGTGCTGACTGGTCCACAGGCAGCCCACGCCAACCAGCATGCACGTCCCCCTCTGATGGTAAAAGCACCACGAGTTCCCCTTCCAGTCCGCAGGACTGGCAGCCTGGGCCCCAGGCCTCCTTGAAGCTGTGGCTTCACCAGGGACCTGCCCCCTTCCACCCAGGAGCCTGTCTTGTCTCCCGCTGCTGTTCATGGCACCCAGCTTGTTCATGCCAAGGGGCGCCTGCAGGCCAGCACCGAGCCACCCTCAGCAGCCCTCAGCACCGAGCCACCCTCAGCAGCCCCTCAGCTTCCCTCCCGTGTTCAACGTCGCCCAAAGTCCCAAGGGGGCTGGCGTGTCAGTGCTGCCCCAAGTGTGGACCCACCTGGATGGTCTGAAGTAGCACCTGGGCTCGGCCCCAAGAGGCCAGGCATTTGGAGCAGGCACTTCTTGTTTTTTTTTTTTTTTTGAGACGGAGTCTCGCTCTGTCGCCCAGGCTGGAGTGCAGTGGCGCGATCTCAGCTCACTGCAAGCTCCGCCTCCCGGGTTCACGCCATTCTCCTGCCTCAACCTCCTGAGTATCTGGGACTACAGGCGCCCGCCACCACGCCTGGGCAATTTTTTGTATTTTTAGTAGAGACGGGGTTTCACTGTGTTAGCCAGGATGGTCTTGATCTCCTGACCTTGTGATCTGCCCGTCTCGGCCTCCCAAAGTGCTGGGATTACAGGCGTGAACCACTGCTCCCGGCCTGGAGCAGGCACTTCTAAGCCTGCAGGGGACAGGGGTGGCCTTCCCAGAGCACAGAGATGCCCGCGTCTGGAGCTGCCTGCGTCTGGAGCTGCCCCAGGGCAGGGGCCGTGGCACCCGGGGAGGGCTCCTACCTGCTCTGTGGAACAGGAGGCCCAGCCACGCCTCCCCGCTGCAGCCAGCATCTTGGCAGCAGCCACTCTAGATGGGCCACTGCTACCCTCAGCATCTTAGCACCGGGAGCTTGACTTCACCACTGTGGGGGACGGGGCATAGCCTCTGTTGCTCTCAGACCAAAACAGCACTGCTACAGTTTTCCCAAGTGACCAAGTGAGTATCGAGGAAATAATTCTTTAATAGAAAGGAAAATACTCAGCACGGTGGCTCATGCCTGTAATCCCAGTTCTTTGGGAGGTCAAGGTGGGACGATCGCTTGAGCCCAGGAATTCGAGACCAGTCTGGGCAACATGGTGAGACCTCATCTCTATAAAAAATTAAAAAATTAGGGCCTGGGTGCGGTGGCTCATGTCTGTAATCCCAGCACTTTGAGGGGCCGAGGCGGGTGGATCACCTGAGGTGAGGAGTTCGAGATCAGCCTGACCAACATGGAGACACCTTGTCTCTACTAAAAATACAAAATTAGCCAGGCGTGGTGGTACATGCCTGTAATCTCAGCTACTCAGGAGGCTGAGGCAGAATTTCTTGAATCCGTGAGGCGGAGCTCGCAGTGAGCCAAGATCGCACCATTGCACTCAACCCTGGGCAA